ATCAGCCTAATGGGGAATTTTAGAAGAATTCTTTTTAAATTCAGGAATGAAACAATGATACTCATTTTCACCACTTTTTATCTAACATTATATTGGATATCCTAGCCTGTGCAATAAGAAAATTAAATTGGTAATATGATGACTGGGAATGGCAGAAATCAAACTTATTAGCTGCAGACAATATAAACTTTTACATAAAAACTCAGAAGAGTCTATAAATCAAATAATTAGAAATAATAGGGGATTTTTTTTTAGCAAGGTTGACTGGATATGAGATTAATATACAAAATTGGTTGCATGTGCTTAAAAGGAAGACACTATTTATATTAGCATTAGAGACTACCAGGTATCTAGAGTTAGATCTGCCACAAGTATGCAAGATGTCTGTAGGAGAAATTTTTAAACTTTTCAGAACAGCATTAAGGAAGACCTGAAAAAGTGAAGGAATCGACTGTATTCTTGGATATTAATTCTCTCAAGATTTACCTATAGATTCCATTCAGTTCCAATCGAAATCCCAAAGAAGTTTTTCAAGGAATTTGTTAAGATGATTTTTAAATTTATATGAAGGACCAAAGAGCCAAGAGTAGCCAGGACACTTCTGAACAAGAGGAACAGGAAGGGTGGACTTGCCCTACCAAATATAAGGACTTATTATGACTCAGTAATATAGTGTGGTGTGGTTTAAGGATGGATAAGTAGACCAATAGATTAGAATAGAGAGTCTCGAAAAAGTTCCACGTAGAAATAGAACTTAGTTATGACAAAGTGATGTGTCAGTTTAGAGGAGAAAGGAGGAATTATTTAGTAATTGGAACTGGAGAAAGTAGTTATCTATTATCACATGGAAAAAGATGAAATTGAATCTCTACTTCACATGCTATTAAAAAAATTCTGCGTGAATTAAGGACTTAAAATTTGTTGATAGCAAAACTTTAAAACTTTTAGGGCGAAAAATAGCTAAATATGTTTTGGACTTTTGAGTAGGGAAAGTAGGGAAAGATCGCTTATAGAAGAGATAAAAAGGTGTTGTCTACAAAGGAAAAGATCAATAAATTTGGCTACAAAATTAAGAATTTTGAAACTTATCTTACGCCATACACAAAAATCAACTCAAAATGGGTTTTAAAGACTTAAATGTAAAACCTGCAATTATAAAACTCCTAGATGAAAACATAGGAGAAAAGCTTCATAGCATTGATCTTGGTAATGATTTTTGCAATATGACACCAAAAGCACAGACAATAAAAACAGAAGACCAGTGAGACTGCATCAAGCACAAAAGCTTCTCTACAGCGAAGAAAACAATCAACAGAGTGAAAAGACAGTCTGCAGAATGAGAGAAAATATTTACAAACCATATATCTAAGAGATTAGAATCCGAAATATATGAGGAACTCCTGCAACTCAATAGCAAAGAAATAACCTGATTAAAAAATGGGTTAAGGACTTTAATAGACATTTTTCCACAGAAGACATACAAATAGCCAACAGGAATATGAAAAGACACTGAGCATCACTAATCATCAGGCAAATCAAGTTGAAATCACAAGGTGCTACTTCACGCCTGTTATGATGGCCATTATCAAAAAAAAGGGGGGGGGGGTGGCTGGCCCAGTGGTGTAGTGGTTAAGTTCGAGCACTCCCCTTTGGTGGCTGAGGATTCGTGGGTTTGGATTCCAGGCCTGGACTTAGACACCGCTCATCAAGCCATGCTGTGGCAGCATCCCACATACAAAATAGAGGAAGATTGGCACAGATATTAACTGAGGGCCAATCTTCCTCACCAAAAAAAAAAAAAAAATTTGCTGGTGAGGATGTGGAGAAATAAAACCATGTGCATTGTTGGTGGGACTGTAAAGTGATGTAGCTGCTATGGAAAACAGTATGGAGATTCTTCAAAAAATTTAAAATTGAACAACCATATGACCTAGCAATCCTTCTTTTGGATATTTACTCAAAAGATTTGAGATCAGGATCTCAAAGAGATGTCTGCACCCCCATGTTCATTGCAGCATTATGCAGAATTCAAGAGGTAAAACAATCTAAATGTCTTTCAACAGACAATAAGGAAAATGTGGTATATATATATATATATATACACACACACACACACACCATAGAGTAGTATTTAACCTTATAAAAGAAGGAAATCCTATCATATGCTACAACGTGGATGAGCTTTGAGGGCGTTATGTTGGGTGCAATACGCCAGTCACAGAAGAAGAAATACTGCATGCTTCCACTTAGATGAGGTATCTAAAGTAGTCAAACTCTTAGAGTGAGAAGGTAGGATGGTGGTTGCCAGGGCCTGGGGAGAGGGAGAAATAGAGAGTTGCTATTTAATGGGTATAGAGCCTCAGTCACGCAAGATGAAAAAGTTCTAGAGATCTTCTGTATAACAATGTACGTATAGTTAACAGTGCTGTACTGTACACTTAAAAATTTATTAAGAAGGTAGATTTCAGGGACCAGCCCGGTGGCGTACTGGTTAAGTTTGTGCACTCTGCTTCAGCAGCCTGAGGTTCATGGATTTGGATCCCAGGTGTGGACCTACACACTGCTCGTCAAGCCTTGCTGTGGCGGCATCCCATATACAAAATAGAGGGAGATTGGCACACATGTTAGCTCAGGGACAATCTTCCTCAAGCAAAAAGGGGAAGATTGGCAAAAGGTGCTAGCTCAGGGCCAATCTTCCTCACCAAAAAGAAAAAAGAAAAAAAGAAGGTAGATTTCATGTTATATGTTTTTTACCACAAAAATTTAAGAACTTTGATTTATCAAAAGATGTTTTAAAGAAAGTGGAAAGACAAATTATAGACTCTGAGAAGATATAATCTATAAAAACTACAAATAATTTGTCTTAAGAATAAAAGATTCCTCAACCCAGTAAGAAAAATATAAATGCCTCAGCAGAAAAATGGGCAAAAGATATAAATGGACATATTACAGAAGAGGTAATACATACTGGTAATAAAAATGTGAAGAGATGTTCAGCATCATTGATCAGGGGAACATAAATCAAGACTATAACAAGATGGCATTTAACACACATTTGAAAAAATTTCTGATGATACTAAGTATATACTGACTTACTGTCTTCTGACTTGGATATTGCCTTAATCCTTTTATTAAAGCATCTCCATTATCAGTTCGTTGAGTAGATTTTATCGTTAAATAATTTTCATTTCTTCCCCCAAGAAGGGCTCATTGATTATTCATGTTTGAAAATATTTGCCATTTATACTTGAAGACCACCTTGGCGAGGTATAGCAAATTATTAATACTCACTTAAATAGGGTACAGAATGCAGAAGAGGTATAGAAAAGAGGAATTTCATAGAGAGGTGAGGAAGGAAGCTATTCTTGCAGAACGTTTTTTTATGAGACGTCTTAAGTTATGGAAGATATTAATGTTCAAGTCATCTGTCTCACTAGTCCGTGTGCTCCCTGAAAAGGGAACAGTAACTGCCACATAGAAGAGTGGAAAGATGCAAAGAAAAAAGATAAGTAGGTTGATAGGACTATAGGGAATTTAAAGCACTGGAGAATACGTTATGAGTACTAGACAATCCACTAAGATTATTATTTCCCACTTTTTCTCCATCTACTCCCAAAGCTGTGGTTATTTTCTCCATGTTTCCACATTATTTTTCAGATAGATTGAAAAGGAGACTAATTTTTCAGATCTCATTGTAAGTAGATACATGTTATGATCTTAGGAGATTATATATACCACTTATTTTTCTAAAATACATATATGTTAAGAAATAATAACAAGTCCAATAACCTTAATTCTTCTAAAAAGTTACATCTAAATTTCTGGATTTTTTTCCTTTATGCTCTAAATAATTGCTAGAAATATATACATATATATATCAGTTTTTCTGGCTTTAATTTCAGGTGAACGTATTCAGGTTGCTAACTTTGCTGGGATGGGTGTCAAAATAAAGCACTGTAGGCCTTTTAGTCTTCTGGAGGAGGAGGAGTATGCCTGTATTCTAGCATATGTATATTCTTTTTCTACTTAAAAGAACTGTGTTCATATAAATGAATGTTAGAAGTATGTTCTTAGACTTGAAAATTGTATGTAAATTTCAAGAATTAAAAAAATTTTATTGTACATATTTTCTCATGTACAGAAAAATACAGGAGTGAAATATTTATGGCATACTTATCACCTAGATTTAACAGATCATTAACATTTTAGTATTTTTTTTGAATAATTGTAAACTACAGCTATCATAACATTTTAGCCCTTAATACTTCAGTATGAATCTCTCAAAAAAAAGAAAGACACTTTCTGCATAACCACAATACCATTATCTCACCAAACAAAATCAACAATAATTTTTTAATACTATCTAATGTATGACCCATGTTCAGATTTCTTTAGTTACCCTCAGACTGGCTTTTTAAATTTGCTTATTTGAACCAGGATGCGTTTGGTTGGTGACTCTCATAAGACTCCTTTATTCTAGAACAATTCTCCTTCCCCTGCCACCTTTTTTCCCCACCTTTCACTTGTTGGAAGAAACCAAGACAGTCCTATAGACTGGAGTAATACACCTCATATTTTGTGATGCACTTTACCATGTTATTTTAATCTCCGAATTTCCTATAAATCAGAAGTTAGATCTAAAGGATTGTTTAAATTCAGGTTAAACTTTTTTCCCAGTAAGTACTTGCTAGATAATGCTGGATACTTAATTTTGTGTCACAAAATCTAGTTGACTCTTAACGATACTAAGACTAATCAGTATGTTTGGGTTCTAGAATTGTTTGTTTTTAAAGCAGAATATATTTACTGGGATAATATGAAATTTTTGTGAAAATACTTTCATAAACTCTGATACTAGCATTTGTGGAGTGTTCTTCATATTTCTCAAAGGGCTTAATAGAAAGCATTCAATAAATATTTGTTGACTTGTGTTTTAAAGTTTTTTACATACTCCTTTCCTTTAGGCTTGTTATCCCTTTTCTGTGTGAAAAGATAAGACAATTACTTTATTTTTTCACTACAGATTTTCAGCTACTGATGTTACGAACAGTAAAATATTGGAGCATAGAGTTGAGGAAAAGACTTAAACCAGGTAGGTAAATAATAAAAGCCCAAAGAAACAGTAAACCTACTGTTCATTTTTATAAAGATCACTATTGGGGTAATTGAAAAAATTGGGATATGAACTGTAGAGTACTATCCAAATTAAGTTTCCTCAATTTGATAATTGTACTGTGATAATTTAAGAATATTCTGAGCTATTCAGGATGAAGGGACATGATGGGTGAAGTCTACTTTCAAATGGTTCAGAAAAGATAAATGATATGTAATGTGAGAGAGAGTTTGGGGAAGTTGTGGATTAATAGGAACTCATATATTGCCAGTGGTAGTATAAATTGGTCTAACCTTTCTGGAAAGCATTTTGGCAATTTATCTCAAGTTTTTAGTTTAGCCCAGAAGTCTTACTTGTCCTGCTATGGTAATTGTAGGAAGACTACAAAAAGATGTATGTATAAAGATATTTATATGAGAGTATATGAAATGAATGAATGAATCAATGAAAAATTGGCAGTAACCTAAATATCTAACATATGAGACTGATTAAATATAATTCAAAGCTGTGTAAGCATTAAAAATGATAATGTAAATCTATTTTTTTGACACAATGTCTAATGTATTTTTAAGTGTCAAGCAGGCTACTAAGCAATATAAATAGTATTAACCTATTTTTTTCCTAAAAAGATGCATGTACACAGTTACACGAATGTATGTTTGATTAGTTAGATGTAATGTGCATGTGTGCGTGCATGCATGAATGTATATATACACACACAGATACATATGTATGTGTTTGTGTGTACATAGACATTTGGAAAGATGACGCCTGTATGTTGCCAGTGGTTGTTTTTGAATAGTAAGTTTATAAGTGATTTTTATACTTTTTTTGTATTAACTGACTTTTTAGAAAGAGTATATATTGCTTTTCTCATCAAATTTTTCTAAGGTAATACTTCTTATGAAGGTTATGTGTTTTGATTTTATACCTTTGCAACAACTTTTGCTATGCAATAAAAATAGTGCTATATTTGCTTATAACTCTGTACTAGATTAGAGTATCTGAGTAGTTCTCATGAGGCTAAATTCACAGATTCTGAGCCTTGTTGGTCAGCTGCTTTCATTTTATATGACCAGACTCTGTTTTCTTAATGCTCTGTTAACTGTCTTAACAAATGTGATGCTGCTCACACAGCTTAGCTGAAGTACATTACCATTTTTGGAAAGTCAGAGATCATGTTCTGTTAATGACAGTTGTGTAGTGCCTTTGTGTATAGAACTTATATATTTACTTTTGATGGTGGTCAGCAACATGTGCTTTGATATTAATGCTGATTGTTGTTTTTGTCGTTTATTTAGTTTTTAGCAGTCAATTTTGAGGGCATTTTCCATTAAGCTTTTATTTTACCTCTTGCTTTTTTTTTTTTTTTTTTTAAACAGATTTTTCTTCTGTTAGTTAACAAGATGGATCCTGAAGCAGGGGGATCACAGATTATCAAAGTGACACCTCTTCAACAAATGCTTGCCTCTGGTACTGGAGCTGTACTGACATCACTAATGGGTAAAATACTGTTACTGATGTAGATTATGTAACTCAATCAATCAGTGATTCCATTGGGTTTTACTATCTGTGAGGTTCTTTGAGGTCCCTATCAATATTAAATATTATGATATTAAACTTTTATTACTCTATTATCTTTTTTATAAATAGAATGCAAGAAGATGGAATAAAATATTAACAGAATCTGGGTACCTTATAGTAGCAACAAATACAAATTATGTTTTACTTTGCTTGTGTTAACAGTGAATTTCCTAAATTTCTCAGGACCACATTTTTCTGTTTTTTATAGTCAGTTTTCTTATAGACACAGCCAAATGACATAGGTGATAGTTTAACATTTTACTGATTTTAAGTTGGCTAGTTTATTTAAATAAGATAGATGATTAGAACAAACATAAACTAATTGCTTTAGGATGTAGTATCTTACTTTAGGTCAGAATGTTAGTAAAGACCTTAAAGATCATCTAATGTGACCTCATTATCAGATGAGGAAAAATTTTCTTAGAACCACTATTTGGCATTTTTTCTACTTGGATAAAATATAGCATGCAAATTAAAAGCATTTGGCTTTGTTGTGCTGTTCCTAAGTGGAATAACACAACATGATGGTAAAAGATTTATGGCTAGCTTACTTAAATTTGCATTATCTATAGTTTTTATTTGATGCAGGTGAATTTAACAGATTAGGAAGACTAATCTTGTTTGATTATTGATTACTTATAGTACAGAGTTATTCTCAAATATTTAAATAGACTTTTGGAACTTTTATTCTTTACCTTAGAGAACGTGTTTTCTTATAAATACTAGTATTTTAGTTTTAATGTTAATGGAATTATAGTTGTAGAAATATTATAAATGACAGTTTAGGACTCATAGGAGAAGTAATTACATTGTCTTCTCTTTGGTCCTCTTTAAACAAAATTCAAAGGCAAAAAATTAGAATGTTATATTCACAACCACTTTAAGATAATCTTACCCATTATGTAGTCATGAGGAAAGGTATGAATCCATGTATTTTGTGTTCTTTGGACAAATATCTGTGTAATTTACAGGTATCACTTGTTAACTGAAATTTGTTTATCTTCATAGTGACACCCCTTGATGTTGTTAAAATTCGACTTCAAGCCCAAAACAACCCATTTTACAAAGGTATGGGTACTAGTTATCCTGAAACTGTTATGTTAGATGTTTAGATGTTACTGCATTCATTTTTATTTGAATAATAGTGTCTTTTTGTCACTTTTTAAAAATTGATGCCTCTTTATCCTCATGCAGAAACATTTCTTCCTCACTTTGTTGTGTATAATGAGGTCTAGGCGGAAAACAAATATATATGTATAACACATATAACACTTTTATGAACTAGCTAATTAAAGCAGAGGACGATTTTATGTTTGAATATATGCCTCAGAATTATACTTGTAAGGGAACTTAGGATCTAGCTTCCTTCTTCGCCCAAGAGCTGTGCCCATCCTAGAACATTCATCCAACAGTCTTCCAAATGTTGCTTGAATACAGTGATAGGAAATTCATTATTTTATCAGGCAGCTTCAGCGATTGCTGGACAGTACAGTTTATGTGGAATTTAAGAAGAGTAGTTATACTTTTTAATTAGAGGGGAAAAATGGCAATTCCTTGGTCAATCTTTTACAGCTTTGTAAAGATAATAGCATTTCAAACATATTAAAATAGCAGAAAACAGACTGTTTGGACTGTGAGAAAGTTGGCTCAGACATAAATGCCACTCTGTTGAATGCATAGCAGTGAAGTGGAATGAACAACAAGCATATTTCAGATGAATGAATGCATAGATGGATTGTAGGAAGAAACTAAAAAGTAAGGTAGTTTCCTATACGTTAAAGAAAGCCTTAGAAGCAGAAGGAGGCATTTAGACTTATGTATTATGAAACTCACAGAATTGTATATGGTTGAACAGAGAAGACAGTTTTGGTAGCGAGAGTGAGTCCAATAATGGAAAGGAGTTGGTATTAGAAAGTTGTAGTAAATTAGGTGGAAGCTGACAAATGTCTAGATTGAGCAACGTAAATAACAGAGAAAGGGTCCAAGCATAGCATTATTTACATTGATTGAGAAGAGTATTTGTTCTTCATAATCTGTTTTTTCAATTAATGTATAATTGACATATAACATTGTATTAGTTTTAGGTGTATACATATACATATATCAAATCAATATAATCATTATGTGTATACTGCAAAATGATTGCCACAATAAGTTTAGTCAACATCACCTCACATAGTTAAAATATTTTTCTTGCAATGAGAATTTTCAAGATCTCTCTTAGCAACTTGCAGATATACATTAGATTTCATAATATATTTTTGTCTGAATTTCTCTTGTATACCACAGAGTTTTCTTCTGGTCAAATAGAGAAGACGTACACCCTTGTTCACTTTTCAAAACAGCTTTTCCTCTTTTATCTTCCTTCCCTAATCCCTCAGAAAACCTAAAAGAATTTATTTCTGTGTGTGTGCATTTGCTTACTACAGTTTGAAAACATAAAATCCACTAATTTACTCAATTGTTTTTCACCACTGTGAGTTTAGAGCCTAGTGCTATGTCATTAAGCAAATCAAATTATGTATATTTCATCTTAAAAGGTGAAGACAAGGTTATATCTCTTCTCATAATTTTCTAGTCTGTTCATCGTACTTTCAGTTTGTTCATCTGTAAAAATAATACAGTTGTGTGAAGTAATTGTTGACTGTTGGAATCTTCTTTGTTAGGAAAATGTTTTCTATATAGTAATGGACTTATGGATCATCTATGTGTCTGTGAAGAGGAAGGCAACAAAGCATGGTATAAGAAGCCAGGACGTTTCCAGGGAACATTGGTAAGGAGATTATATCACAATGTGTTTTCTATTTTTATGCTTAATCTTGTGTATGAAAGATTTTCCAAAGGCAGGAGAGTAAGAAGTCCATCATGTAGTTAGCACACGTACCCAGTTAAAAGGTAGATATTGAAGTGGGAGAAGGGAAGCACTTTTTTGCTTTTAACTCTTTGTTAATTTTCTTTTCACTTATGCTTTTTTATGTAGAAAGAAAAAAGGGAGTAGATTTTTTTAAATTAAACTTTATTTTGAGATAATTGTAGACCATATGCAATTTTAAGAAAAATATACAGACAGATCCCATGTACCCTTTTCCCAGTTTCCCCCAGTGGTAACATCTTACGAGACAAGTACAATATCACAACCAGGATATTGACATTGATACAGTTAAGATACAGAACAGTTCCATCACCTCAAGGATCCTTCCTGTTGCCCTTTTATAGCCACACCCATTTCTCTTACCCACTCCTTAACTCCTGGCAACCACCAATCTGTTCTCCATTTATATAATTTTGTCATTTCAAGAATGTTATATAAATGGAATCATAACATTTTGTGATTGGCACTTTTCACTTAACATAATTATCTGGAGATTCATCCAAGTTGTTGCATGCATAAGTAGTGTGTTCCTTTTCATTGCTCAGTAGCATTCCATGGTATGGATGTACTGCAGTTTGTTTTCTGGGTTGTTTCTGGGTTTTGGCTATTCTGAATAAAGCTGCTACATACATTCATTCAAAGGTTTTTGTGTGAAAGTAAGTATAACAAAAAACTGCTCACTGTTTTTCTCTCTGAACACTCTACTTACAGTACTTCTGAAACAGATAATGTGGGTTTTTTCCCCCACCAAGCCGTTTTCCAACTATCAGTGGACACCAACTAGATATCCTACAATTTAACTCAATTCTGACACTATCTACTTGGAGTTGGCGTCAGATACCACAGGTTATGGGCTCAGTCCCACAAGACTGCTCCCACTTTAGATATCAATCACAACTCTGGGTTGTCACCTATGTTTCTGACTGACTGGCTATAAATTGCACGTTCCCACAACCCCCTCTTTGAGTTCGATAATTTGCTGGAATGGCTCACAGAACTCAGGAAAACGGTTTGCTTAGTAGATTACCAGTTTATTATGAAAGGATACAGCCAGATAGAAGAGATGCATAGGGCAAGGCTTGGGGGAAGGAGTGTGGAGCTTCCATGCCCTCTCCAGGTGTATCACCCTCCCAGTACCTCCGTGTGTTCACCAACCTAGAAGCTTCCAAACTCCATACTTTGGGAATTTTTATGGAGGATTTATTATGTGGGTGTGGTTGATTAAATCATTGGCCGTTGGTGATTAATTTGACCTTCAGTCCCTCTCCCCTCCCCAGAGACCCTGAGGTTTGAGAGTGGGGTTGGACGAGGGGGTAGGACTGAAGGTTCCAACCTTCTAATCACTTGGTTGGTTCCCCTGGCAGCCAGCCCCCATCTTGTGGTTATCTAGGGGCTTTCCAAAAATCACCTCATTAACATAAACTCAGGTGTGGTTGAAAAACGGCTTGTTATGAATAACAAAAGACACTCCTTTTACCTTTATCCTCGAGAGCTATTTCAGGACTAAGGACAAAAAACCCAAATATTATAACCAAAGGTGCTTCCATTACTCTTTATCACTTAGGAAATTATAAGGGTTTTAGGAGCTGTGTGCCAGGACCCATGGATGAAGACTGAGATGTATATTTCTTTTTTTTTTTTTTTTTAAGATTTTATTTACTTATTTATTTTCCCCCCAAAGCCCCAGTAGATAGTTGTATGTCATAGCTGCACATCCTTCTAGTTGCTGCACGTGGGACGCGGCCTCAGCATGGCCGGAGAAGCGGTGCGCGCCTGGGACCCGAACCCGGGCTGCCAGCATCGGAGCGTGCGCACCTAACCACTAAGCCACGGGGCCGGCCCATATATTTCTTATTATAAATCACAATATCACTGTAAGTCTTCCTGGGATAAATGCTCAGAAGTGCAGTTGCTGGGTCTTATGGTAGTTGCATGTTTAGGGTTTAAGAAATTGCCAGAGTGTTTTCTAGGCTGGTGGTACCATTTTACATTCTCAGCAGCAATGTCTGTCTGATCTAATTTCTCTACATCCTCACTAGCATTTGGTGTCGTCACTATTTTTTATTTTAGCAATTATGATAGGTGTGCAGTGTTATCTCATCGTGGTTTTAATTTGCATTTCCCTAGTGGCTAATGATGTTGAACATCTTTTCATGTGCTTATTAGCCATCAGTATATCTTCAGTGAAATGGCTTTTCATGTCTTTTGCCCATTTTCTAATTGAACTGTTTGTATGTTTACTGTTGAGTTTTGAGAGCTCTTTATATAATCTAGATATTAGTCCTCTGTTGAATGTGTGGTTTCAAATATTTTTTCCCACTCTCTAATTTGTCTTTTCATCCTCTTAAATAAGGTCTTGCATGGAGTAAAAGTTTTTAATTTTGATGAAGTTCAATTTATCAGTTTTTTTTCTGTGTAGATCATGCTTTTGGTGTCAAGTCTAACAACTCTCTACTTACCTTAGACCTAAAGATTTTCTCCTATTTTTTTTCCCTAAAAGTTATGGCTTTACATTTTACGTTTAAGTCCGTGCTCTATTTTTAGTTATTTATTGTTTTTGCCTATGGATGTCCAGTTGCAGTTACTGAAAAGGCTGTCTTTCCTCCATTAAGCACCTGTGTCAAAAATCAGTTGGGCATAATGTGTAGATTTCTGGATTCTTTATTCTGTTCAGTTTATCAATTTGTCTGTTACCTGTATCTGTTCCACAGTCTTAATTACTAAAGCTGTAGAATAAGTCCTGAAATCAGGTAGACTGATTCCTCCCACTTTATTCTTATTTTTCTTTTTCAAAGTTGTTTTAGCTATTCCTAAAGTTCCTTTGTCTTTCCATATAAATTTTAGAATTTTAGTCTTGTTTATATCTACAAAAAATCCTGCTGAGATTTTATAGGAATTGTGTTAAACCTGTATAATGATTTGGGGGAGAAATGACATCTTTACTCTGTTCAGTCTTCCAATCCATTTTCAACCTGCCTATGTCATTATAGTAGAAGTTTCTTGTAGAAAGCGTATAATAGTCATGTTTTTTAAATCACTCTATCAATTTTCATCTTTTAATTGATGTATTTAAACTATATTTAATGAAATTACAGCTATGTTAGAGCTTAAGCCTGCCATTTTACTTTTTGTTTTCTCTTTCTGTTTAATTTTTCCTGCCTTCTTATGTATTACTTAAACATTTTTTAGAATTCCATTTTGATCTATAGGGTTTTTGTGTTTATGTTTCTTTGCTGAGGCTTTCTAGTTTTTCATTTGTTTCAGACATGTTTATACATGATCATGCAATGATTTTTATGTTGACTGTTTTCAAACCTTATCTTACCTTTAAAACCTTATAGATAATTCTAGTCTCTCAGTGTTGGTGTCTATTTATTGTCTCTTTTTGTTCAGTTTGACATCTTTTTGGTTCTCAGAATGACAGATGATTTTTGACCAGTTGCCCACTCAGCCTCCATTGACACACACTGTGGGGGAGGACCTCTTTACTGTTGGATAGGTGCTATGGTCTGAATGTTTGTGTCTTCCTACCCTCAAATTCCTATTGAAATCCTAAGGCCTGATGTGCTGGTATTAGTAGGTGGGCGCTTTGGGAGGTGATTAAATCATGAGGGCAGAGGCCTTATGAATGAGATTGATGCCCTTATAAAAGAGGCTCCGGAGAGCTCTCTTGCCCCTTCCACCATGTGAGGATACAATGAGAAGGCTGTGCCCCAGAAGAGGGCCCTCACCTGACCTTGCTGGCACCCTCTTTTGGACTTACCACCTCCACAACTGTGAGAAATGAATTTCTATTGTTTATAAGCTAGCTTGTCTGTCGTATTGTGTTATAGCAGCTCAAACAGACTGAGACGATAGGGATGGGAGTTCTGGCTCCCTTTGTGGTTTCCGCTGACACTGGCAGGGTGAGCTCGTTGCTGTTGGGTGATGGTGAAAGTCCTGACTCTACACTACTCCTCTCCTGACACTACCATTAGAACCCTTAGCATATTCATCATAGTTATTTTAAATTCCCAGTGTGATAATTCCAAAATCTGTGCCATCTCTGAGTCTGGTTTTGGTGCTTGCTTTGTCTCTTCAGACCGTGTTTTTTACCTTTTAGCATGCTTTGTAATTCTTTTGTTGAAAACCAGACATGATGTATTAGGTAAAAGAAACTGAGGTAGATAGATCTTTAATGGGAGGTTTTATGTTTGTCTGGCTAGAAGTTAGGCTATGCTTACTGCTTGTTGCTGCTCTGTCAGAAACTAAAATTTCCTCTAGTGTCCTAGTGTTTGTCTTGTCTATTGTCTTTGGATTTTCCTGGAGACTCCTCAGAGTCTGAGGCTTCAGTTCCTTTTTTTTTTTTTTTTGTGAGGAAGATCAACCCTGAGCTAACATCCATGCTAATCTTCCTCTTTTTGCTGAGGAAGACCGGCTCTGAGCTAACATCTATTGCCAATCCTCCTCCTTCCCCCCACCCCAAAGCCCCAGTAGATAGTTGTATGTCACAGCTGCACATCCTTCTAGTTGCTGTATGTGGGACGCAGCCTCAGCATGGCCGGACAAGCGGTGCGTCAGTGCACGCCTGGGATCCGAACCGCGGCCACCAGTAGCGGAGCACGTGCACTTAACCGCTAAGCCATGGGGCCGGCCTGAGCTTCAGTTCTTTTGGCTCTGATCCTCTCTTGTTTTACAGGAGCCCTGTTGTGGTGGTGGTAAGATGTGGAAGAAGGGAAACTTTCTATAGTCCTTTTTTTTTTTTTTTTTTTTTTGCTGAGGAAGATTAGCCCTGAGCTAACATCTGTTGCCAATCCTCCTCTTTTTGCTGAGGAGGATTGGCCCTGGGCTGACATCCATGCCCATCTTCCTCTACTTTACATGTGGGACACCTGCCACAGCATGGCTTGATAAGTGGTGTGTAGGTCTGCGCTCGGGATCAGAACTCGAGAACCTCCGGCTGCGAAAGTGGAGTACGTGAACTTAACTATTACGCCACTGGGCCGGCCCCATCTATAGTCTTTTAATGAGCATGAGTTGGTTGTTTCCATTACCCCAAGCTGGTTAGGTTTTGGTAAAACCCAGTGGTTTAGGCTCTGGTAAAATAGTTTCCCTTGAGTATAGGCTTTGTTAAGGAGAACAGAGATTTTGGATATATTTCCAAGTGGTTACTTTGCCCCTTCCCCTGCTTGAAGCAAGAGGGGATTTTTCTTTGATCTTCACAGTGAAACTTTGGTAGGGCTCATGGAACTAAAAATCATGAAAGTGTGTAGGGACCCGCCTACAATAGGCACCTCAGTTTTTGATTCTCAAGTTAGTCTACACTGAGCTTCCAGCAATTTGTCAGTTATAGTTTACAGTGTTCCCATTGATATTGGTTCCAACTGCGGGTGTCTACTCTAGTAAGCTGTGAGTCTCTATTGGACCTTGTCTCTTCAGTTTTCAGGGTGGCACTTTACCCTGTGATCTCAAGTCTCTGATGAATCTAAGAAGAGTTGTTGATTTTTCAGTTTGTTCAGCTTTTTTCTTGTTGTGAGGAAGGGAGTGACAACTTACAAGCTCTTCACATGCAGGAGCAGAAAGCAGAATTGTTCTTTGGGTTTATTTTGGTCGTTCTCTTCTACTTCCTTAGGTGGAAACAGGGATTATTGATTTTAAGCATCCTTCTTGACTCAACTAAGCATTTAAAACTGTAGATTTCCTTCAAACTACTAAATTAGCTGTATCCCACAAATTTTGAAGTTGTGTTTTCATTATCAGTCAGTTGAAATATTTTCTGATTTCCCCTGTAATTTATTTTTTTTGCCTTGGATTATTTAGAAGTATAATATTTAGTTTCCCAATAATAGAATTTTTTCTAAATATCTTATTGTTCCTGATTCCTAATTTAATTCCAGTGCGGTCAGAGGAAGTACTCTGTACGTTTTCAGATTGTTGAAATTTATTAAGTCTTGTTGAATGGCGCAACATATGATCTGTCTTGGTGAACATTTTTATATGCACTTTAAGATCTATATTCTGTAATTGTTGGGTATAGTGGTCTATAAACTATTAGGTCGGAGTGACTGATGTTTCATTTAGATCTTCTAAAGTCTTACTGACTTTTTGTTTTAATTGTTCTCTCATTCACTGATAGAAGATGTAAAAATCTTCAATTATAGTTGAACATTTGTCTGTTTTCTTTTTTAGTTCTGTCTGGTTTGCGTCCTGGGTTTTGAAGCCGTTATTAGGGACATACACGATTATACTTCATATGTTTTTGTGATATATTTTTATTATAATGGAATGCTTTCTTTATCCCTGGTAATATTCATTATCTTGAAGTCTTTTGTCTGATAGTAGTATAGCTACTCCAGCTTTCTGTTTATGTGGTATATCTTTTTCCATTCTTTTACTCAGAGACAACACATAGTTAGGGCTTGTTTTTTTACCTTTTCTGACAATTGCTGACTTTTTTTTTTTTTTTTTTTTTGTGAGGAAGATCAACCCTGCGCTAACATCTGCCAATCCTCCTCTTTTTTTTTTGCCGAGGAAGACTGGCCCTGGGCTAACATCTATGCCCATCTTCCTCCACTTTGTATGGGATGCCGCCACAGTGTGGCCCGCCAAGCGGTGCATCAGTGCACGCCCGGGATCCAAACCGGCAAACCCCGGGCCGCCACAGCGGAGCACGCACACTTCACCGCTTGCGCCACCGGGCCGGCCCCAACCATTGCTGACTTTTAATTGGAATATTTAGTCCTTACCTTTAATGTAATTCTTAATATGGTAAGTGTTAGTGTACCATCTTTGTCTTTTTTTTCTATTTGCTCCCTCTGTTTTTGTTTTTTTTTTCCTCTTTTCATGCCTTCTTTTTGATTAGTTGAATTGTAATAATATTACATCGATTCCTCTATTGTCATTTTGAGGGAGACAGTTCTTCAAAGGTGTTTCACATTTCTGTACATTTTGTGAGCAAGGTACTGACTGCCTTTTGTTTCTGACCATCTTTTCAAGGGTGTTTATAGTGAACAACCTTGAAAGATACAGTGTTTCCCTCTAGAGCCAGGGGAAGGCATCCTTACTGCCCTTTATAAAGGATTTGGGTTCCCTAGGCTCAGATTTCCTCTCCTGTAGTACCATCCACTGTGTGTTCAGATGTCACCTAGCCTTCTTCACATTGCACTGTGGAAATTGGGGCTCAGGGAATTGGCACAAAAATGTGATACTCTGGCCACTGCTGTTGCTGTATGTAATAAACTGTCCTTCATGTCTTACCCCAGAGATTCTTGTCTACCAGCTCTCATGAGACCGAGGCAGGCTAACTGGTTAACTTGCAAGTAGGGTAAAATCTCAAATCCCACACAGTTCTTGAAACCACTCCCTCCCTCCTCGTCCTTTGTGGTATTGGTTCGTGTATAGTACATCTTTGTACATTATAAATTTCACAATTCAGTGTTCTAATTTCTGATTTAAATAGTCTTACGTCTTTTAAAGTAGTTAAAAGGAGAAAGGGGGAAAATATGTTTTATATGTACCCATGTATTTACCATTTCTCCTGTACTTCCTTCCTTTTTGAAGATCATAGTTACTGTTTGGCATCATGGCCCCACATTCTGAGGAAACTTTTTTCAGCATTTCTTTAGTGCAGGTATTTTGGCAACGTATTCTCTCATTTTTCATTTATCTGAGATGTTTTTGAGCGTTCTTGAAGCATATTTTGGCTGCTTATAGAATTCTGGCTTAATTTTTTTTCAGCACCTTAAATATGTTGTTACATTGTCTTTTGGCCTCCCATGTGTCTGATGAGAAGTTAGCTTTCATTTGTATCATCCTTTCTCTAAATGTATTTTGTCATTTTTCTTTTTTTTGTTTGTTTTCATTGTTTTTATTCTACTTGGGATTTTTTGAGATTTTGGGCTGTGTAAATTGATACCTTTCACTAATTTGGGAGGTTTTTTGCCATGATTTCATCAGGTAATTTCCTGTCCCATTCTGTTTCCTTTCTTCTATGACTCCAAATAAACCTGTATTATACACTTGATATTTCCCCTCAGGTCTCTGAGCCTCTTGGTTCATTTTTCTTCATTCTTTTTCTCTCCCTTCTTCAGAATGAATAATGTCTATCTTCAAGTTCAGTGACTCTTTCTCTGCTATCTCCATTCTGCTGTTAAAGCCCACTTAGTGAATTCTTTATTTTGGGTATAGAATTTTCATTTGGCTATTTTTTATAGTAACTATTTTCTTGCTGAAATTCCAAATTTGTTCTTTCATTATTCATATATCATCTTTTAAGCTCTTGAACATATTTATAATAGCTGCATTAGAGATCTTGTCTGCTAATTGCATCATCTGAATCATCTCAGTGTTGTTTCTGTTGATTACTTTTTCTTGGAGTGTGACCTCATTTTCTTGTTTTTGTGTCTAATGAATTTAGATTGGATAATGGACATTATGAATGATGCATTGTAAAGACTCTGGATCCTTTATATTCTTCTGAAGAGTCAATTTTTTTCTAGAAGGCAGTTAATTTTGGCTGAATTCAAACTCCAAACTCAGGCTTCCCTTTGGTGGGCTGCAGCTGAAATTTCTACTCAGCTTTCAGCTGCCGCTTTTTTTTGGCCAGGACCCTGCTGTCTTCCCCTGGGATTGCATAATTTAGTGGTGAGTCAAGTTTTGTGGCTGATTTTGTATGCAAATATTGGGGCTTTATCCCTTTGTAGTGCATTCTTTTCCAGAATTTCTCCCCTAACTTTCTGAGTATTCTACTAGCCTGAACTCTGCATTTGCCATCTCAAGCAAGAAAATGTGCTGGTCTTTGCCACTCCCACAGGCAAAAAGCTGGAAACTTGCAAATCTCACTCATTGTGCTTGGTCTTTTTTGTGTGTGTTTGAGGAAGATTGGCCCTAAGCTAACATCCGTTGCTATTCTTCCTCTGTTTTGTATACGGGATGCTGCCGCAGCATGGCTTGATGAGCGGTGCATAGGTCCACGCCCGGGATCCGAACCTGCCAACTCTGGGCCCACAAAGCAGAGCATGTAAACTTAACCACTATGCCACGGTGCTGGCCCCTGTACTTTGTCTTTTAACAGCAGACCTCCCTCTAGTTTCTGCCTGCTTTTGATTCCTCTCCAGAGATTTCAAATACTGAGTTTAAATAATATTTTCTCAGATTTCATAATTAGGAGAGTTATCTAACCAATTCTCTGCCATTATTCCACTTCCTTTTTATAATAATCTTTGAAAAACTTGGTTTCTAAGACCTAAGTAGAACAGTCCAAAGTTGTGCAGTACAGATTTTATTCTTTAAACAGAAAGTAATATCCAAAAATGCTTTACTTGTGTTTGAAAGTTGAGGAAAATTCCTTTTTTTTTTAAAGAATGAACATACATAAATCTGAGAAGCTCATATTTTAGAAATAATTGCTTGAAAGAATCAAATTATCAATTATCACTAAATTTTTTGTACATCAGGTTCTGGTGTATATTTTTGACTACTTTCTTCTATTATAATTTTAGGATGCCTTTTTGAAAATCATTCGAAATGAGGGCATTAAATCCCTGTGGAGTGGCCTTCCTCCTACCTTGTAAGTTGAAATTTAATATTTTTCTTACTAAATGATGGTTGTTTTGCCTTGTAATCAGCATGGTTGGACAAAATCGTGCATTTTTCATATTAGAACTTTTTCATTTTCTAAAGCATTGTTTTGTGAGTTTCGCAACCACCCACACATTTGATGGTTTGCTGGAAGGACTCACAGGACCTAAAGAAGGTTATACTCATGTCTGTGGTGTATTAGAGCAAGAAGATGCAAAAGATCAGTAAGGGAAAAAGACACAACGGAAGTTGACTAGGCATAGGCTTCATGAGAGTCCTGCCTTGTGACATCACATAGGACATGCTTATTCTTCCAGCCTTAAACTATGGTAGCATGTACAGTGTTTCTACCTCAAAATGCACTTGGATTTCAGGGTCTAGGGCTTTTATTGGTGTTTGATGACATAGGCACATTCTGTCTTTGTGACCAGCAGTGATTACCAAAACTCCAAACCTCCAAAAGGAAAGCAGATGTTTACCAAAAATCAAATCATTTGCACAAATAAACCTAGACAAGTTGGTTTAGTGCTCCAGACATGCAAAAAACCTTTATTATAGGGAATATTCTAAGGGCTAAATTCCTTGGAGCTGGCCAAAGGTCAAGCGTGTAACTAGGCCCTCCTAAAGATATAGAAGATGTGTTAAGTCTTTAGAGCACAATTATTTTTTTTTTTTTTATGTTTTAGAAGTTAAGAATTTGGTGTGCATTTGACTTTTTATTTTACTAAAATAATGAGAAAGATTGTGATTTGTATACTTTCCCTTTTCCAGATAATTTTAATTCTCTACTAACTAGCTATTATATGAATTAATATGACAAACTAGTAAGGCTGAATGTAAGAATCTCAACAAATACCTTTCCTTTCTCTGCCT